TAAGTTGAGGTTTTTAGTTGAATGTTTAATAATTATATGTGGCAAGGCAATTCAAATTATGTTGTTTGTAGTATAAAAGTAGTTGGAAATGGTCACTTTTGGACTCGTAGGTGAAAAAGTACCATTACCCGAAAAATGTGATAATCCGGCTGGGGGTCCTTCCCATATAGTCCAGATGATCGAGTGGAGACAGTACGTCATAAACACGTTAAGCTAAGATGTAACAACTTTATTACAAGTTGTAACAAGCAGAAAATAGAGATAGTTTTGGTTTGTGTTTCCAGGGTGGCCCCTAAAGAAAAAGCCGGTGGAGCCGAGTAAGCCGAACCGAAGAGAGCCCACTGGTCAGACCCAGAGGCTTCGGCAGGGAGAGGGTGTCTGAATGCCTCCGTCGCCACACCGGAAGGGGCATCTCCCGAAACCCAAGACCATCTAAAGCCTGCCCCGACTCCGAAATCCTTAGACGTTTCAGAGCCGGAAACAAGGGAAGGGAAGGGGGGGGGGGGACCAGGACGCAATACAGTAGGGGAAAGGACGAGGGGGGTGCGGACTGAACCAAGGTCGAAGCGATCCCCACCCCCAAGTCTGAGTCCCTATAAGCAAAGTGGGGCAGCCTCGGGGCATCCAGGTGAGCAACCAACCTAGCGCGTTGCAACAACCAAAAACAAGCATGTAATGCCTGCGCCGCCTGTACCCGTAGAACATCATCTTGAGACTGGGTAAACTGAGTCACTAGCAAGCAACAGAACTCGCACGACTCCGGGTCGAAGGTGTCACCGACCCTACAGGCAGCGGGACGGTAGCAAAAACCGTGAGGGTCACCCTGAGTCAAGGGGACCGAGCAACCCTCGAACTAACACGAAGTGGGGGGGGGGGGGGAATCCAGGGACATATTCATCGGACCCACTCGCCCCCTAGGGGATTCCCAGGTTCCTGAGCGTTTAACAGAAACTCACGCCCAGGTAATCCCAGGCAGAGTACTGCTAACTGGCGCCCAAAACTAACAAACAACTGTCTAAAACTGTTCACCAGGGACGTGTACAATCACGGGGACCTAACAGGGGGATTACCAGAATAGAACCGTGCACAGGTCAGGCACAAAAAACGAGGAAGCAAGGCAGACCCCCCTACAAGGCAAAAAGAAAAAGAAAAACAAAACCCCACAAGAGGACAACGTACCCCAAGGAACAGAGCTGGCCGCTTTAAGTGGTGAAAACAAGCTGCGCAGTACCCTGCGTCCCATCAGTGCAAACTGCCTCTTACCCTAAGGTAAACCACGAAGACAAAACCCCTAAGCACCCAAAGAGCAGCCAAAAATCGAGCAGTAATCCGGCCTAGGAGAGGCAGACCCTAAAGAACTTGTGGAAGGTAACCCCAAGCTCCAATGGCAGTACTTACAGGGCACCTAGGGATGATAACCCTAGGTGCATGCAGCCCGAGTACTGTAGAATAACTCCTGGCTCTCGCACCCCTTGAAGACAGCCACCACACTCAAAGCACAGTGCTGGAAACGCTGGAGCCAAGCACACGACCTCTGCCTCTAGCATCAGCCTGAAAACTGACAGGTGGATAGCTGGCATGGGGGGTCTGGGGGCTTCCCCTTCCCCCTCCTGGGGAGGGGGAAGCTACGCAGACAGCGGCGCGGCGACATGTGACGTCATGCTCGTTTGCTTGTTTCTTTTATGGGAGTTCTATCCACTTGTTCGACTTTTGGTAGCAATATTTTCGCCAGAATTGGGGTTTGTTTTGGGATGCTTACCTTTCTGGGTGCCTGACCCGGTCGATGGCAGACATAGAATGCTTCCAACTACACAGGGGGTGTCTATAGGTCACTGCTCCCCATGCCTCTCTGAGAAGGCTAGATTCTGGCTCGTGGTCCCCGGTAGGCCCACAGAACTCCATACACATGACTGATGCCAAAATCTAACATTAGCATATCAGCCTAATAAGCTCCGGGTAGCTGAAGGGACTCCCCCCAGAAAAGTAAGAAAAGCAAAAAGAATTTATTATTTTTATTTTTATTTTTATTTTTATTATTATTATTATTATTATTATTGTAGAGAAAATCCATTGGAGCCATGATGAGGATTCGAACCTATGCGGTGGGTGTTCGCATGCAGGCACTCTAGTCAACTAAGCCACAACATGGTAAAAAATGTGTCCTAGTTGACTATGGCATGGGAACACCCACCGCATAGGTTCAAACCCTCACCACGGCTTGTACAGATTTTCTCATTGATACATCACATTAGTGTGATTACTCTCTGAATTATTAATAATTATGAAGTACATATAGCAGGGCAGGTAGACAAATTCCACACGATTTTTCTGATATAACAAAGATCAGGGAGAAGACTGAGCCACTGAAAACTTAGACAGGTCAAATAACTGGTAATGAGAACTTTATATTATGCCTACAGCTGAACAAATCTATGTGGGTGGTGAAGAGGGCAGGTGGACAAGTTTAGTGGGTGCCAGGGAGGATGTTATTAACTACTGTATTTGAAAAATTTAAGCCAAACTGGCTCTAGGGCCACTTCATCTAGGCCCAGGGCTAGACAAAGTGTTTGCCAGGGTATGTAAGGCATGTAAAGAAGAGCTTAGTAAGCCCTTGTCTAATATGTGTATGTGTGTACAGTAATTACCTAAGTGAAGTTACAGGATGAGAGCCAAGCTTGTAGTGTCCCATCTTCCCAGTACTTTTTCTCATATGACGCTCTGAAACTACTGACGGTTTTGGCCTCCACCACCTTCTCACTTAACTTGTTCCAACCGTCTACCACTCTGTTTGCAAAAGAAAACTTTCTAATATTTTTTTGGCAGTTTGTTTCCTTAGCTTGAAACCGTGTCTGCTTGTTCTTAATGTTGCTGGTTTCAGGAATTCCTCCTTGTCAGTTTGGTCGATGCCTGTTAGAATTTTTGTATGTGGTGATCATATCACCTCTTTTTCTCTTATCTTCTAGTTAAGGCATGCTTAACCCTTACACTGTGCAATATATATAAATGTAGATGATTTGAGAAACAAAACCGGAACCGCGCAATACATTAATAGCTGTTTTAGTGTCTGGTGCCTTAATTTAAATGCCCCGCGTGGGATAGGGGTAACTATAGTGCAGCCACAACTGGCAGTTGACAGACGCCACCTAGAAAAAAAATTGTGGCCAACATTCCTGGGTGTGAGAGCTTCAGTTCTGAGTGAGCCACCAAGGCTGATGCACACCACGAGCGTAGCTCTCATCCTGTAACTACACTTAGGTAATTACACAGCATGAGTTCACAGCACTGCTGTTCAGCTTGTGACCACAGCATCGCCTAAAAATGTCAAAATATATATGTTCATGCTATTATTTAGCGATGATAGTATTACAGAAGACCCCTGACTGTGATAAAACTGACCAGGATTCTGATAACAGCAGGATTGTGGTGATATTTAGCGCTGTGCTCCATGGTGGGAGGAGTAACGTTGAGGGAAGGAGGGAGGTGGCATCATCTCCTGACTGTGTGTGGCCACCTTTTATAGACTGGACTTACCACACCACCTTAGTGGTTCACTGTGGTGAACACAAATGTAGATACTTATATATAACGTGTGTATAGAGGGTAATAACAGCAATAGGAGTATGTTGGGAACTGCCATTTTGGTGAGGGAGGTGCATTGTCTGCATGACATGTCTTGTCGTTTACTGGTGGCTACTATGGTCTTTGGCCACCATACCAGCTTATTTGTATAGGTATGGTGAATAAAACATGTTGATACTTATATATAGTGTGTATATAGTGTAATAACACCACAAACAGTATTGTTGGAGGAGAAATATTAGTGTCTGGCCTTGAGGGCGGCCGCCACCAGCTGACTGTATGAGTAGCTACGTCTTATTGTCTTTATTCGAAATACAAGCTTAGATGTACAGTTATGGTGAACAAAACATGTAAATACTTATATATAATGTCTGTATATAGTAAATAAATGCAAAAATAGTATTGTGGGAGATAAATGAGGGCGAGTGAAGTGTTGAGGGAGGGAGTGAGGGTGACAGCGAGTGGCTGGCTAGTATGTGGCAGTCACGCCTCGTTGCATTTTGACTCACAATACCAATTTAGTAGTTCGAAGGGAAGTGGCCCTCAACTGTTCCTGACATGAGAGATGACTTAGCTCTGGTATGATTTTTGTTGCCCGGTGTAGCACCTTCTCCAGAGAAGCTATGTCTTTCTCAAGATGAGGTCTCCATGCCTGGATGAAATACTCCAAGTAGGGGGTGCACCAGAGACTTATATAATTGAATGACTACTGTCTTTTCCTTGAAGGTAAAGGTACGCTTGATTATTCCCAGGGTTTGGTTTGCTTTTTTTTTTTACTCCCACTCCCACTTGTGCAACTTTTAGTGAATGATGGATTCTGACTCCTAAGTCCTTTTCTTCATCTTTCTGTTGTAAGGTAGTGCTGTCAATTTGGTAGTGGTGACGTGGATTGTTATGCCCCCACATGCAAGGTCTTGCATTTACTGACATTTGTGTTCATGTAGATCTCTTTAAATATATATCTCTTTAAATCAAGGAGGGCTGAGTGTGCAAGCCAGATCAATAATGCATGCAGTCTTCTGGCTGGGGTTACCAAAGAGGGCTGGTGGTAGTTGCAGGCTCACTAATGACATGTATGCATTTTTACTCACAGGGTTAAAAACCCATGGAACCCCCTACCCGCAGAAGGTGTAAATACCAAAACTCTTGTTAAATTTCACAATCCAGCTGGAAAAATACATCAGGACAATGGGGGGATCTCTGAAAACCATCAGCTTACTGTCCTCATCGAGGCCACTCTAGTGTCAGTGGCTCTCGCGTAAATTCAGATAAATTCAAGCAAACTGTACATCTCACTGATGCTATGAAGGAGAGACAATTACAATTACCACCCTCCCTTCTGCCCTCTCCACCCACTAAAATAACAAACTGTACAACATTACACTTATTGAAGGAATATGTACATAAATAAGAACACATACGCAAAGTAACTCTCGTCGAGAACTCTAGCCTTTTCGTCAGTACCATTCTTCATTTCTGCAACAGCAATACCATTTTCCGAGGCCCTGCGCTTCTTGGTCAGAGGTTGGGCTCCCTCCATCCCAACACCAGGGGCTGCCATGACTGCTGCTTCCACCTCAGACATTGTCCCTAAAATAAAAGTTAAAGAATACAAACTCTGCTATTAGATAAGCATTAGCAACTTTAAACAGTATATGAAGCTCATAGAAGTTTCCTGATCTCTGGAAATTATAACCTTAAATATGTTTAATTCTCATCATCAGAGGACAGGTGGCCTATACTTAGGTTTATCAATCCCCTCTAGGCCAATTACTGACCTTTCCCGGGATGTGACTCGCCCCACGTTATAGAATGTAGAACAGGAGAAAATAGGCCACACACAAACTACAAATTATGTGAAAATCTATAAAGAATTCTGATGAAAAAAAAGATCTAGGGGCTGTTTTGGATAGAAAACTATCAACCAAGAACCACATAAAGAATACTGTGCGAGTAATGTATGCACCGCTCTCCAATTTCGTAATCACCTTAAAATACAGTACATAGATATTGAAATATTAAAGAAATTGTTCACAACCTTTGCGAGACCAAAATTGGAATATGCGGCGGTTGTATGGTGCCATATCTCAAGAAGTACAGTACATTAATAAACTGGAAAAGGTGCAAAGAGATGCAACTAAATGGCTTCCAAGCTATGAGGAGAGGCTAAGGTGTTATATGAAAGCTAGAAGATAAAAGAAAAAGAACTTTTGAAAACTGCAACATCAAGAACAAAAGTAAGGGTTTAATCTAAGGAAATAAAGCTGTCGAAAAAACATCAGAAAATTTTCATCACCAGGGAACATGGCAAAAAGGGCAGGGAACGTGGTGTAGGGGACAGGGAACGAGGGACGCAGGGCTGGGAAAGCAGCGTAGGTGGCAGGGAAAGCGGCGTAGGGGGGCAGGGAACGCAGTGTAGGGCAGGGGAAACACGGTGAAGGAAGGGGAAACATGGTGCAGGGCAGGGGAAACACGGTGTAGGGCAGGGAAAACACGGTGAAGGGCAGGGGAAACACGGTGTAGGGCAGGGAACGCAGTGTAGGGTAGGGAACGTGGTGTAGGGTAGGAAATGCAGCATAGGGGGTAGGGAACGCAGCGTAGGGTAAGGAACGCAGCGTAGGGTAGGGAATGCAGCGTAAGGTAGGGAACGCAATGTTGGGTAGGGTTGGGAACGCAGGGTAGGTTAGGGAATGCAGTGTAGGATAGGGAACGCAGTGTAAGGAACGCTGTGTATGGTAAGGAATGCTGTGTAGGATAAGGAACGCTGTGTAGGGTAGGGAAACGCTGTGTAGAGTAAGGAATATTGTGTAGAGTAAGGAAGGTGGTGATGGATGTGGATGGGGTACCTGGCAGTGCCAAGGTAGTGAGAGTACTGTAGTTACACTAATAAAGAAAATGTTCACTGAAGAGTGTTATGGTAGTAAAGGTTGTGTGTAGTGATGAAGACAGGATTTAGTAAAGATGATGATGATGACAACAGTCGAGTGTAATTAGGATAGAAAATGAGTTTCGTTGAAAAGCACATGTACGATTTAACTGTACCCCTTGACTTGTTGAATAGGGTCTAAAACCTGAGAAATGTATGTACAGTACCTTTTTTGTTCCATCTCTACTCTTTTTTAATCACACCCAACCCAAGCCAACATTTCCTATCCAAACTGAACCAATGAAATTATCCTTACCAAACCCAGCCCAACCCATCCAAATATAACCTAACCCAACAAAAATAAGAGTAAAAAGTTGTGGTGTATGTAGCAGTCCTGGTAGTACAGTTGGATTCATTCTCGACTCACAATCGTGAATTGTGGATTCCAATCCCGGGAGAGAGAAAGAAATGGTCGGGAGTGTTCCCCCCATCAACTAACACTCCTATTCACCTAGCAGTAAATAGGTACCCAGGAATTAGTCAGCTTGTTGTGGGGTTACCCTGAGGTGTTTCCGGGGCTTAGCGTCCCCGCAGCCCGGTCGTCGACCATTCCTCCTCGTCGCTGGACTGGTCAACCAGGCCGTTGGACGCGGCTGCTCGCAGCCTGTCGTATGAGTCACAGCCTGGTTGTTCAGGTAGTTGCCCTAACCCTCACCCAACGCAGCCTAACCTAACCCTACGCAGCCTAGCGCAGCCTAACCCAACACAAACGTCTATATGGTGTGAACAATTAGAACATGAGCCAGTGAACGCTGCAACATTACGCAACAAACAAGGTGATCCATCACTGATCAAGAATAACTCGTGACACAACTGTATTGCTTGGAATCACCAGGTCTCACCCAGGTCTTGCAAAAGACTCACCAAGAGACACCAAGATTTCCCAAAACTCACCAGGAGTTTCCAAGGTTCACAGCCCACACCAGGACTCACCGAGACTCACCAGGTCTCAGCAAGACTCACCAGGAGACACCAAGACTCGCCAGGAGTTCCCAAGGTTCATGGGCCACACCAGGACTCACGGGTCACACCAGGATTTACGGGTCACACCAAGACTAACGGGCCACACCAGGACTAACGGGCCACACCAGGACTAACAGGCCACACCAGGACTCATGGGCCATGACAGGACCCATGGGCCCCACCAGGCCTCACCATGGCTACACCAGGACTCACCCGGGCCACACCAGTACTCACTGGTCACACCAGGACCCCACCAGAACTCACGGGCCACACCAGGACTCACGGGCCACACCAGGACTCACGGGCCACACCAGGACTCACAAGGACCCCACCAGGACTCACAGGCCACACGGGCCACACCAGGACTCACGGACCCCACCAGGACTCACAGGCCACACCAGGACTAACAAGGACCCCACCAGGACTCATGGGCCACACCAGGACTCACGGACCCCACCAGGACTCACGGACCCCACCAGGACTCAAGGGCCACACCAGGACTCACAAGGACCCCACCAGGACTCAAGGGCCACACCAGGACTCACAAGGACCCCACCAGGACTCAAGGGCCACACCAGGACTCACAAGGACCCCACCAGGACTCAAGGGCCACACCAGGACTCACAAGGACCCCACCAGGACTCACAAGGACCCCACCAGGACTCATGGGCCACACCAGGACTCACGGGCCACACCAGGACTCACCAGGACCCCACCAGGACTCACGGCCCACACCAGGACTCACAAGGACCACACCAGGACTCACCAACTCACAGGCCACACCAGGACTCACGGGCCACACCAGGACTCACAGGCCACACCAGGACTCACCAAGACTTATGGGCCACACCAGGACTCACCAAGACTCACAGGCCACACCAGGACTCACGGGCCACACCAGGACTCACGGGCCACACCAGGACTCACAGGCCACACCAGGACTCAACAAGACTCATGGGCCACACCAGGACTCACCAAGACTCACAGGCCACACCAGGACTCACGGACCACACCAGGACTCACGGGCCACACCAGGACTTACTAGGACCACACCAGGAATCATGGCCCACACCAGGACTCATGGGCCACACCAGGACTCACAGACCACACCAGGACTCACGGACCACACCAGGACTCACGGACCACACCAGGACCCACGGACCACACCAGGACCCACGGACCACACCAGGACTCACGGGCCTCACCAGGACTCACGGACCACACCAGGACTCACCAGGACTCACGGGCCACACCAGGACTCACGGGCCACACCAGGACTCATGGGCCACACCAGGACTCACGAGCTACACCAGGACTCGCCAGGACTCACCAGGACCACATCAGGACTCACCAGGACCACATCAGGACTCACCAGTACCACACCAGGACTTACTAGGAAAACACCACGACTCACGGGCCACACCAGAACTCACCAGGACTCATGGACCACACCAGAACTCACGGACCATCCCAGGACTCACCAGGACTATACCAGGACTCACCAGCCACACCAGGACCACACCAGGACTCACTAGGACTCACCAGGACCACACCAGGACTCACCATGACCACACCAGGACTCACCAGGACTCACGGGCCACACCAGGACTCACGGACCACACCAGGACTCACTAGGACTCACGGGCCACACCAGGACTCACGGACCACACCAGGACTCACTAGGACTCACGGACCACACCAGGACTCACGGACCACACCAGAACTCACCAGGACCACACTAGGACTCACCAGGACTCACGGGCCACACCAGGACTCACGGACCACACCAGGACTCACTAGGACTCACGGACCACACCAGGACTCACTAGGACTCACGGACCACACCAGGACTCACGGACCACACCAGGACTCACCAGGACTCACGGGCCACACAACCAACACCAACCAGTGGTTTGAGTCAAGTGAGCCCTCAGTGAGGGCCAGTTGCCCCTCATTACCCTCTCATTACCCCTCATCCTCACCCATAAATCATGACCCAACTAAACTAACCTTAAAATCCTTGTCTATAAATCCCACGGGATTTATTATATGATGGCGGGGATTTTGTTCATTAATCCCCCCCAAAAATGTCCACGTGGGGGTTTGTTTACATCCTTGAGGGCAAGCTTTTTTTGTATTTAATAATAATATTAATAATAATAATAATAATATTAATAATATTAATAATAATATTTTATTTAGGAAAAGTACATACATAGATGCAGTTACAAACATTCTGATTGATGTATAGATAGATGTATAGATACAATACCTAAAGCCACAAATACATAGCGTTTCGGGCTAATTTCGTGTGTAATGTATGGTGTATTTTTGTATTATGTAAAGAACCTCTATTACATAATAGAGACTTACATATAGTGTGTATGTGTGTGCGAGTGAAATAATTGAGATAATCAATTGAGTCTCCATTAGCCAACGTGACAGTTAATTGGGAAAGGCGGGGCCCAAGAACTATAGCACCTCGAGGACGTGGGGGTAACAAATAGTTTAATTATCATGGAACACAAGGATAATTAACACTAATTTGCCCTAATTAAAACAGAAAAAAAACAAATCAATATATTATTTAAATGCTTCTAAGGCTAATTAGTTCATTCATAATTGTATACAGTGGCTTTATAATCTTACACATTGTATTATATGTAAGTAATCACTGTAATTAGTAATTGATATTATATGTATTTTACATACATAAAGATTATTATTAGATATAAAAAGCTATTGAGGGAACTCACGTCTCTATACATGTTCTTGTAAACATGAATAATAATTGAAAACATGAATAAATAATAATTCAAATAATATATTTTGATTAAATACACTTTCCCTTATGTTAGCTAAATCTATTATAAATAAGCAAGACATCTATGAATACAGGTTTTGAATTTGAATGAATATAATATAGAATTATAGGCAATGTTTCAATGACTTTGAAGGAATGTCAAAATCCACCTCGATCAAATTATCTGGACACATTTAATAGGGGGGGGACCTTTCACAAGCCGACGGCCTCTTGTCCCCGTGGAGGCCACTAGAGAGAGCAGCCTTCAGGTAAATTCAGGTCAATTCAGACTATTGATGGCCGGAGTCTAACCGACCGACACAAACGGTTGGGCTCCAGCTCTTGAGCCGCCGCGTCGTGCCGGACCAAAGGATGGAAAAAGATCAGTATATTATCATATATACACGTTTGTTAAAGCAGCTTCAGCGAGATATGAGGAAATAGGAAGAATATATACGTATATATATATCCGGGTGAGAGGATATATGAGGAAGAAAATTGGATATTTTGAAGAAACTGGAAGGACGAGGCCGCTGATGTGTTGGTGGAAAATGGGCGGTTTACTGTGGTGTGTTGTGGTGGTGGTGGGCAGCTGCTGGTGTGTGGTGGTGGAGGGCAGCAGCAGCAGCAGCAGCAGCTTGGTGGAGGGCAGCCACAACACCTTCAAGGAGGAGCTGGTCATCCGACCCTTGACCTCGGGTCACGTGTACTCGCACTTCCAGTTCACCACCGCCTGGGTCACCCCAGAGATCTCTAGAGCCATCACCGACTACCACGACTTCGGTGAGTGAGCGGGGAGGGGGGGAGGGAGGTTTACCTGAGGTGTACCTGAGCTCCGCTTGAGGGGTGGGGGGTGGGGGAAGAGACCCCCTCGACAAGCCACCGGCTTCCTGTCCCTGTCGAGGCCACTCGCTCGTGGGGAATCTTTTCTTTGGCTTCATGTCGCTTTGTATGCAAGAAGCCTCGTCAATTGGTTTTAAAATTCAAGCCTAACCTAACCTAGCCTAGCCTTGTCTAACCTAACCTAGCCTAGCCTTGTCTAACCTAACCTAGCCTAGCCTTGTCTAACCTAACCTAGCCTAGCCTTGTCTAACCTAACCTAGCCTAGCCTAGCCTAACCTAACCTAGCCTAGCCTTGTCTAACCTAACCTAGCCTAGCCTTGTCTAACCTAACCTAGCCTAGCCTTGTCTAACCTAACCTAGCCTAGCCTAGCCTAACCTAACCTAGCCTAGCCTTGTCTAACCTAACCTAGCCTAGCCTTGTCTAACCTAACCTAGCCTAGCCTTGTCTAACCTAACCTAGCCTAGCCTTGTCTAACCTAACCTAGCCTAGCCTTGTCTAACCTAACCTAGCCTAGCCTTGTCTAACCTAACCTAGCCTAGCCTAACCTAACCTAACCTTGCCTTGCCTTGCCTTGCCTTATATATAGTTTTTAGCCACTCAGAAGTGAGCTTTGTCATAATGCTTTTTGTGTATGATTTGATCTATATGTGTTTTCTGTTTCCTGCATTTCATCAATTGAATAATATTGTAATTTGAATTTCCAGTGACTCAAATCTCGGAGTAAATCTGAATGAATTCCCATTTGAGTTTTTTTATTCTTTTTTTAATCCAAAAAGGATGTTTAATTTACTGAGGTTTGTGGAATCATAATTCCTAAAATTTGAATTTGCTCATTTTTTTGGCATTCCCACTAAAGAATTCAGCAAAGTTGAATATCGGGCTAACTTGAATGGGTCCCATATACAGGAATTCAGATTACTGAGCGTAGACAGTACAATATTTTAACATGTAATGCTTAATGTAACGTTTTTGAGAATTGTCTGAATTACAGGGAATATTTCTTTTTTTCACTGCAATAACTGTGCAAGAAACGGGTCGAAACGTCTCGTCCCGGCCGGACACGTTTAATTGCAACATTATCAGTCGGGTCAACCCATGTATTGTATTCCAAAAATATGCAACCATGTTGGAATAGAAGAATGCCCAACAAATACAGTTGAAAACATCTTGATAACTTATTCATCAGAAATTATTTGTCACCTCATATATTTATAGGTTAGATTAGGTTTGGTTAATTCCAACATGGTTGCACATTTTTGGAAGACTGTACATGGGAGCCGGTCGGCCGAGTGGACAGCACGCGGGACTTGTGATCCTGTGGTCCTGGGTTCGATCCCAGGCGCCGGCGAGAAACAATGGGCAGAGTTTCTTTCACCCTATGCCCCTGTTACCTAGCAGTAAAATAGGTACCTGGGTGTTAGTCAGCTGTCACTGGCTGCTTCCTGGGGGTGGAGGCCTGGTCGAGGACCGGGCCGCGGGGACACTAAAAAGCCCCGAAATCACCTCAAGATAACCTCAAGATGGGTTGACCCAACTGATGCTTGGGTCAGATTTCAATATAGTTTGGAACGGTGCCCAACCACTTGGACGGTCAGGGATTGAACCTGCACGACGCTCTACTGTCGCTCTACCGTCCAGCCCAAGTGGTTGGTGGAAAAAGCTGTTCTTTTAGCAGGCTTGTTTAATGACACAAAATTCTATGCTTACTCCAACATCATGGAAGGTTGCCAGTGTAGTTCCAGTTGTCAGACACATTTTAGTAGCTATAGTCAGGGCTGTCTTCCCAGTTGCCAAGCATTTCATTAGGCAGTCCACGTGGTACAGTGATAAGACACTCGCCCGGCGCTTCACGAGCGATTTTTCCTGGGTTCGTATCCTGGCCGGGGAAAATTGACCGGGCACCAATCCTTAACTGTAGCCTCTGTTCACCCAGCAGTGAATGGGTACCTGGTCAACTCGTTCTCACACTTGCTTACGGTCAATATTGGCTTATTTAACAAGTGCATATGTGACATACTAATTGATTGTGAATATTTTAGTTTAACTTGAAAACCTTCATAGAAAACACCGACCTCACCTAACCTTCTTAGTATGTTAAGATAAGCTTCTTATTGCTTCTTATTTACAATTATTACTTAACTTATCAATGGTATAGGTTAAGTAATAATTGTAATTAAGAAGCAATAAGATGCTTATCTTAACATACTAAGAAGGTTAGGTGAGGTCGGTGTTTCTATGAAGCTTTTCAAGGTAAACTAAAATATTCACAATCAATTAATATGTCACATATGCACTTATTAAATAAGCCAATATTGACTAAAGGCAAGTGCGAGAATGGGTTGACCTGGTAGCTAAACGACTTTGTGTGTCGTATTCCAGGGAAAATTAGGATTAAGGACCTGCCCGAAATGCTGTGTGCGTTAGTGGCTTTACTAGAATGTAACAACTCTTGTACTGTATATATAAATAAATACAAATACAATACTACTTTTGTTACAGAATTTTCACACTATGACTTGTTTCCTCGTGCATTTGGAGAGATAGTGGAACGCTACCATGTGAGAGAGCTGCATCTCAGTTTGACTCAAGGACTGTGGAGGCACCGCAAATGGGGTTACCCCATCGTTGATGCCCCACCTGGTGCTCAGCTCTGGGTCTGGTTTAATCCTACGACAGACGAGTAAGTTTTTGCTATGATATATGAAGTACTGTTGGTTTATAATATATAATATAGCAACCCGTCCTCTTAAAAATAACGTCACTTTTGGCTCGTATGCGCGCTATGGCCAAATTTGGACGTAATTTGAAATGAAATCGACTCGCAAAAGTGATGTACTTTCCCATTTTCAGTTTGAGTCATCCGGCTTACTCGGTAAGGTTAGAAGAGGAAACTTTCAATTAACGTTTTTCATAACGTTTTGAAACTTTATGAGAATTTCCTGCCCACCTAACCTATTAGAGGATCCTTAACTTACTGTTGTTGAAAAAAAAAATCCAAATTTATTTTCATTTTTTTTCATTTTCAAATTACGTCCACTTTCGGCCATACGGGTAAACGACCAAAAGCGACGCTATTTTTAAGAGGACAGGTTGAATATAGAGCTTTTTATTTATGCTGACATCTGAAATGTTTTCTAGGAAGAATATTAAACTTTAAATGACTCGCCTAATTAAGTCCTTCATTGTGGCGCACATAAATAAAATAGTTTGCTAAACAAATATACAAAATTTTGCATTACATCTCGGGAGAAACTTACTTCAATGCCGTAGTGCTTGAATGAAAGTGGAGGAAAGCCCCAATACATGTGTAAGTGTATTAAAAACCAAATTTTTGGTTGTAACCTACATCCTTTCTCAAGGTGCTATATACAATGCTCCGAACAAAAAATGCAAGCTCCTGGAATCTTGTTCAGAAGTTCGTATACAGCACCTTGAGAAAGAATGTAGGTTATATCCAAAAGTTTGTTTTTTAATACAATTACATATGTATTGGTCTTTCCTTCAATTTTATTATGTGTCAAGTACATGAGGTAATTGCAGGTAACAATTAAAACCATTTAAGGATTAATGATTGTGTTCATGTACTTTGTATTCCTCAGCTTAGACCAGACATGGAGAGACTTGGTGAATGCTCTCAGTGGTCTTGTTTGTGCTTCATTGAACTTCATTGACTCGACAAACACCGTCTCTCCGGAACTTAGTTACCGTCCTCAGGGTCTCGCTGAGCAGTGGTGAGTTAAGATATGATCAGTAAAACACTATCTGAATAATCTTATATTTCAGCATTCCTGGCAAACCACTTGGGCTGGACTGTAGAATGACAGTTTCACTTCATGCAGGACGGCATTCAATCTCTGACCATTTAAGTGGTTTGCACCATTCGTTCACCTCCCATCCCATCCCAAATCCTTATCCTGATCCCTTCTAAGTGCTATGTAGTTGTAATGGCTTGGTGCTTTCTCCTGATCATTTGTTCATTCAGCATTCTTGGATTTGGGATTGTCTGTTAAGAAAATCATTCATCATAACAATGCATCATCTGTGAGGAAATAGAGACTGTACCGTGGGATCAAACCCACGTTCCTTGACTCCTCAGGAACGTGCACCACAGACTGTGTAACACCATAAATGTGTGTTATTTAATATTTTACATAAAACGAGAGTCAAGTCACACAGCATATTGGAGGCGCCAGGGTGTCAGTCCTCACCAATTATAAAATCACACATTTAAAGACTTAATGGTCGCAGGTTGAGTAGGGGTCAGGTCATGTGAAGTGACCTTGCTTTCTGCTAAGCTGATAATTGCAGTCGATTGGCTGTGTTTCCATCAAGCAAGCCGCTGTCTAGGTTGGGTAGGGAGATAGCCAGAGGCTATCTTCTGGTAGGCGGAGCTTAACTCCCGGTTCCCCCATATATACCCGTGGAACTGTACATTTGAGACACTGAGGACAGCGATAACTAGACCGCTACTCCAGAGAGAGGTTCCCACAGCCAGACTAGGCCTGTCCCAGGCCAAGTGGGGGGACTCTTATCAGCTGTACCACCCCCCTTCTCTACCAAACTTGGTCTCAGAGACTTTAGTGAATGAACTGTAAGGTTGTCATATATTGTGTTTTCCAATTTATGGGTTGTGTGGTGTCCAGAGGCAGTCAGCCGTAGGTGCTCTCAATTTCTTGTGTGGTGACTCAAATTTGCGTATTATCTTTACATTCAATTATCAGGTGATAGGGTTGAATTATGATACCCATATGAGTGCATATGCAATGGCAAATATATAATTGATTAACTCACTTTTTAAATTGCTTTTAATTGTGACCCCTAGATCTTGTATAATAAAAGCTAGAGTGGAAAGAACTCTGAAATTTTATATCTTAAAGATTCTGGTCTATATGATTTCCACGCTTACATATGATAGATGATAACACCAGATAATATTGTTGTGCAGACAAGTTCCATTCCTTGTCTTATGAGTAACTAACTTGAAGGGATGATGGCAACAACGTTCTATCTCTCTACTATTCTAGCACTCTTACTTTCTACTCTTCTACTTTCCTCCATGATCTCATTTTCTCCCTTTCATTCTAAACTCTCCCTTTACCCCGACCACTCTTCCTCACTACTCCCTTACTCCTCTCTCACCCTTTCTTCTTCTTTTCTTTCCTTCAATTTCAGATACGTTACAACTGAACCATGATCAGTTTAACTGCCGTTATCACGTGGACTCAGTATTTTCTCTAGATATATTGCATTGTGATGTTGTGCATGTTTTATCCAATTTGACCTGTAATGCAATGGATAAAAAAAATGGCAAAATACTTTTAAGTATTTTAATTAATATTTTTCAGGTATGCTGGTAATTCTTCATACATGCGTTACGCTGCTTTACCACGTGAGAACGTATGCACAGAAAACCTTACACCCTGGAAGAAGCTATTGCCTTGTGACATGCAGGTAACATTGCTTCATATACTGTATTTCTAATCAAATATAAATTGAGTTGAACTTCATAAAAGGGTATGATATATTTATTTTAATACTTTGACTCGGTAATGACGCAGCATTGCGTCATTTCCGGCGGCAAATTGGCGACGGTTTCGGGAGGGGCGCGCCGCAGTTTTGGACATTATATGAATACACACTGTAGGGAATTTCATTGCAAATACATTGATACCAAAATGAAAGACCTTGGACCAGAATTGAGGTAACAAAGTTGAAAAGAGTATACCCATTTTATTGCTCTTTGTTAGCGCTCACTGTGGTAACGCACCGTCACTTTCTCTGTTTGCTGTGGGTGGGACGCCGGGCTTTTGGACTTTATATTTGCATATGCTCCTGTAGGGAATTCTATTGCGAACACAATGACACAAAAAGGAAAGATCTAGGACGAGAATTGAGATGTCCAAAGTGAAGAGAGTGTACACATTTTATTGCTCTTTTGTGCTCCCTTGCAAAATGCACTCACTTTCTCACTTTCTTGCCGGGCTTTTAGGCTTTATTTGCATTTAGTCCTGTAGAGAATTCTATTGCAAACACATTGATACCAAATTGAAAAACCTAGGACAAGAATTGAGATGACAAAGTTGAAGAGAGTATACAGTACACATTTCGGTATGACCGCGCTCTCTATTGTAATGAGAGGCGCCTTGGGGTGGTGCAGCGCTCTCTTTCTGGTAACTTTCATCTTGTCGGCGGGTGGAGCGCGTTGCTGTTTTTGACATTATATGCATATATTCCTGTTGGTGGTAACTTTCATCTTGTCGGCGGGTGGAGCGCGTTGCTGTTTTTGACATTATATGCATATATTCCTGTTGGTGGTAACTTTCATCTTGTCGGCGGGTGGAGCGCGTTGCTGTTTTTGACATTATATGCATATATTCCTGTTGGTGGTAACTTTCATCTTGTCGGCGGGTGGAGCGCGTTGCTGTTTTTGACATTATATGCATATATTCCTGTTGGTGGTAACTTTCATCTTGTCGGCGGGTGGAGCGCGTTGCTGTTTTTGACATTACAGTATATGCATATATTCCTGTTGGGAATTCTATTCCTAACACATTGATACCAAAATGAAAGACCTAGGACGAGAATTGAGGTGACCAAAGTGAAAGGGGTGTACACATTTTATTGGTCTTGCGTGCTCCCGGGTAACACGCTCTCACTTTCTCTGTTTGTTGTGGATGGTACGCTGGGCATTTGGACTTAATATACCTTTTGTCCTGTAGAGAATTCTATTGCGATCACAATGATACCAAAATGAAAGACCTAGGACGAGAATTGAGGTGACCAAAGTGAAGGGAGTGTAAACATTTTATCGCTCTTGAGTCACGCTCCCAAGTAACACGCTCTCATTTTCTCTGTTTGTTGTGGATGGTACGCCAACCATTTGGACTTTATATGCCTTTAGTCCTATAGAGAATTCTATTGCGGACACATTGATACCAAAATGAAAGACCTAGGACAAGAATTGAGGTGACCAAAGTGAAGGAGTGTACACATTTTATCGGTCCTGCGTGCTCCCGGGTAACATGCTCTCACTTTCTCTGTTTGTTGCGGATAGTACGCTGGGCATTTGGACTTAATATGCCTTTAGTCCTGTAGAGAAGTCTATTGCTAACACAATGATACCAAATTGAAAAACCTAGGACGAGAATTGAGGTAACGAGTTGAAAAGATTATACACTTTTCAGAATTGCCACGCGCTCCCGCGGAATGCCCAAGCCCACCCGGGGTAGTGTGGAGCATGCATGCATGCCCAGAGCATCAAAGTGTTAAATACAGTGCATCCTCACTAACGAACCCCGCTCTTTCGAATTCCTGGATGATCCGAACAAAGCGAATTCGGCACTAAATGTTCAGTGGAACATAAAAATGTTAGATTAAGCGAGGATTGTTCGTCTAAGTGGTCACCGACACCGAGCCTCAGAGGTGGCTGTCATCAACTAGGACTCACCAAAGTGTAAACAGTTATACTGTACAATGTTTTATTGTACTTACCCATTGTTTCAATCAAAAAGTGGTTGAAGGATGATAAAATGGTGTCAGGAGTCATTGGTAGTTGTTGTCAGGGGGAAAGTGGTGTCAGTAGTTAGGGTTATTGTCAGGGGGCAGGTGATGGAAGTTATTCTCATGGGAGGCGGCTGGAGTTAGTGGTTGAAGTTGTCAGAAAAGACTGGTGTTGTCAGTGGTGGAAGTTGTTGTCGGGAGGCATGTGGTGGGACTTGTCAGGGGAGGCAGGTGGTGTCAGTTGTCAGGGAAGGCAGGGAGTTGTAATGACCGCTTTACCCCGTCGTAATAACCGCGGCCTCTATTGTAATAACCCGATGTTCCCCAGTATAAATCCTGTTATCTTGTTATCTCGTGATCGTAATATACGCTCTCTGTTGTACATCTCTGTCTCTCTTCACTCAATACCCCAGCTTAACACTGTTACAGTCCAGCATGACCCCTCACTGGACTGCCCCGTATGTAAGAGGAATATTAAATGAGGAAGATACACCAAGGACAAGGGTTATTAGTTAAAAAAAATAACAAAACACATTTGCACTGCCACCACCTTCCCGACCAACCATACCTGAATGTGTCGATCACCAATCCCCCAGGAAGGCAAGGAATCAGTAACCATGGGACTCCGGGTAATATGACTTTCAGAAATAAATTTTGGAAAATTAGTTTGTGTAATTTACGTTACTAATTTAAATCCAAGGGCAACTTTAGTATCGATTAATTGTAGGAGAACCTGGGGGCTTCCAATACAACACCTAAAAAATGACAAAGTAACAAAATATATCAAAGGGGAGTTAAGTGAATACCACTGGACAAGCTATACAATTTATTTTATGAAACATGTAAATTAAGACAATTTGAACACATAACCTATTCTATTTCCCTAGAGGCACGATGGATATTTATTGAGGACACGAAACTCAAGTGCTACTATACCTTAAATACCCGCACTACGGCCAAGATGTTGATGGCTGCCCTCAGCCCCGAGGATACGGCTTGCGGCCCTGTTCCTAATACACTCCCAAGACACACTGACTGAAATTTTGTTTTACCAACTTATTGCTGGGAAGGATTACTCCTCCCACCATCTAATACAGCCCCAGGGCTCCACCCATTATTTTGGCAATGGCCAACCATTTAACACGTAGGCCTGAGGTCTGGCACTCTAGGGCCAATAAGGACTTGGCCCTTATCTCTGGCCAATCACCTTCACTGATCTGCCGTGGAAAGCTACATGAATTCCTGAAGATTGAGTCAGCTCTCCCCAGCTATGAGAAGGGAGACAAGGCGCCTCTATGGAGCCCCAGGCACCTGCGAGCAATGTTTACAAAACTGATAAATTATGTTCAAGCTGTCTCCTCTAAGATACGAGTAGGGACATTTGACTCTGCCTCGTATAGGGAAGAGGCCGGTGAGAGGGGAAGAGAGGGGATGAGAGGGGGATGGAGAGGGGAACATCTGAGTGGGGAATTGAGTGGGAGAAGCCAAGGTATCCAAGACCACCCTACCCTCAGGTCAACCTCTTGACCCTGACAAATGGGCGACAGGGGGGGGGGAAGAGGAGGAGACGAATGACGGCCAAGGGGAGGGGAGAAGGAAGGAGGGGAGAGGGAGAAGGAAAGGAGGGGAGAAGGAGAGGGAAAGGAGGGGAGAAGGAGAGGGAAAGGAGGGGAGAAGGGAGAACTAATGAGCTGAGCCCCAGATCATTACAGAGTGATAGTGGTATCAGGGAAACAGGGGGTATCAGTGGTGGAAGTTGTCAGGTAGTGGGGAGTGTCAGGGAAGGCAGGGAGTGATAGTGGTGTCAGGGAAACAGGGGGTATCAGTGGTGGAAGTTGTCAGGTAGTGGGGAGTGTCAGGGAAGGCAGGGAGTGATAGTGGTGTCAGGGAAACGGGGGGTATCAGTGGTGGAAGTTATCAGGTAGTGGGGAGTGTCAGGGAAGGCAGGGAGTGATAGTGGTGTCAGGGGAGACAGGGGGTATCAGTGGTGGAAGTTATCAGGTAGTGGGGAGTGTCAGGGAAGGTGGTGTCAGCTCTTGCTTGAGTTATCAGCTAATTGGCAACACATGACTGGTGCCTCGATGCTTCACTCAGTCGGCTTTTCACCAAATTAGCTGAGAAAATGTTACCATTTCAGTTGCTTGTAAATTATCAGTTTATCATATTCCATAGTCAAAATGAAAGGTGGGGAGGCAGCTAGCCATCTACCCCAGTCGACATTTGTTCTCATATGTACTTATATGTACATTAATTTGTATATTCCTTATTCATATTAATAAACTTTGTTATTTCATTTTATTATTTGCTGGATGTATATGAGCATCTGGTCTGAGGTCTGGCCTGTGGCCTGCCAGTCAGGTTGCCACCCCCCTTCTCCTTCTGCCAACCTGGTATCCCGCCCCTCCCCCCTCCTGCACCTGACCACCAGTAGCCGGCCACTACCCCCTCCCGACCACCGGGGAAAGGGGTAGTAGCCTTGGCCCCCTTCTCTCGTCATCAGGTACCACGAGTCAATTTAGTGATGTAAATTATTGCATTATCTACACTGAAAATATCCTTTTTATTAGCAAAATGTCATACTGGAGCAATAATAATGGTGAAGATTGTGATATATCGTATTTCTGAGGGGAGCCCCCTTCAGCTCCCCGGAGCTATCTGGGCTGATATGAATGTATTAGACCCTAGCTAGCATCAGTCAAGCAAATGGAGTTCTAGGCCTACCTGGGACCATGAGCCAGAACCTGGACCCCTCAGTGAGGCTTGAGGAGCAATGGCCTATAGAAACCCCCGTGTGGTTGGAAGCATTCTGTCTGCCATTGACCGGGGTCAGGCACCCAGAAAGGTAGGCACCTCAAAACAAACTGAAAGCTGAACTGTTGGACAGAACTCCCTCAACAAAAACAAACAAACGAGCATGACCATAATCGATCGATCAATTTGTTGACACCTTACAAGCAGAACTTATTGCGGAAGGAGGAAAGAATCGAGGCAACTACAGAAGCACCATACTGTCCCCCGAGCTCAAAGCGACAGCTAAGAGCCTTCGTGAGAACAAGGAAATAGTTGTCAGGAGAGGTGACAAGTCGCCAATATACGTCATTCTTAAAAAAGACGAATATCTGGCGAAAATGAACCTCATACTCTCTGACCAAACTAAATTCCAAAGGGTAACGAAGGACACTACAGCCGAATTGAAAGCAAAGGTCAACAAATTGATCGAAACTGTGAACGCCAAGAAATCCGGACTCCACCTGCCAAAGATTATTGGGGAATATAAACCTGGATACGCGTATGGAAATGTCAAGACACACAAGCCTGGAAACCCACTTCGGCCAATCATCAGCCAGATACCCACACCCACGTACAGACTGGCGAAACGACTCAACGGCTTGCTGACTCCTTATGTCCCTTGCGCCTTCAGCCTGAAGTCTCCAAAGGAATTTGTTGACTTACTGCGGGGAACATGGGCCACAGGGATAAGAGCCTCGTTGGACGTAGAATCACTGTTTACCAACGTACCTGTGGATGAAACAATCGGGATGATAGTGGACAGAGTGTATCGTGATCTGACCTGTACTCCTCTTGACATACCAGAAAACATTCTAAGGAAACTACTCCAAGCTTGTACTAAAGAGGCACCCTTCTTGAGCCCGGATGGGCACATGTATAAGCAAGTAGATGGGGTCGCCATGGGTTCTCCCCTAGGTGTCCTGTTTGCGAACTTCTACATGGGTACCATCGAGCAAAAAGTTTTAGTCGGCATGAACTTGGAACCGGCCATATACTGCAGGTATGTTGACGATATTTTTACACAGGTACCTGATGTCAGACATCTGCAGGAGCTGAAGGAGGCATTTGAGCAGAATTCTGTGTTGCGTTTCACTTACGAGATGGAGAAGTATGGGAAGCTGCCCTTTCTAGATGTAACAGTCATGGAAAGGAGCGGAGGTTTCCACACTGCAGTCTACACTAAGGAAACAAACATAGGAATGTGCCTAAATGCCAACAGTGACTGCCCAGACAGGTACAAGAGGAGTGTTGTTAACGCTTATGTCGACCGTGCTCTCAGCCACAGCTCAGGATGGAAGCAAGTTGACGAAGAACTCTGTAGGGTAAGGCAGGTCCTAGTCAACAACGGCTTCTCCAATGGTTTCGTTGAAGACATCATAAGAAGGAAAGTGAAACGCCATGCAACCTCTGAAGAGACAACTAACACAACACCTATACCCCCTATTAGACTATTTTACAGGAACTTCTTTTCCACAGTTCATAAAACGGAGGAAAGGGTCCTGAAAGATATTGTTAATGGAAACATTATCCCTACAGACAAAAATCAGAAGATACAACTGACGATTTGCTATAAAACCAAAAAAACGGCCAGCCTACTCATGAGAAACTCTCCAGACACAAAGCAGAACGCTTTAAAAGAGACCAACGTCGTCTATGCCTTCAAATGCCCTCTTGGGGACTGTAAGCCTCAAAAACTCAGTATATTGGCAAGACAACAGCATCTCTTTCCAGGCAATTAACGATGCATAAGCAACAGGGCTCCATTAAGGAACATATAATCTCTTCCCACAACCAAACCATCACCAGAGAAATCTTAGCAAACAACACAGAAATCATCGATAGATACAGCGATAGCAGGCGACTTGACATCTGCGAGGCACTACACATCAAGAAGTCAACACCAATCAACAGCCAATTAATACACAACTATTATCTACCCACTTCAAGACTCCGCTCCAATATAGAAGCATCAAGAAATATGGGCCAATAGGCTCTCTGCAATTACGTCCAATCCTTGCCTTCAATACCCATTGTTTCGTGTTCTATCCTGTGTTGAAAGTTTTGTTCACCTCATCCAAAACTGTTGTAACATATCACCTCACCCAAAATGCGGGTATAAAATGAAAAATGAAAGCTGTTTAAATCATTGCATAAGTAAGAACTCTGTTTAGTGTTTGCAGGTTATAGTTGTGTGTGTGTAAACTAAAAGTCTTTGAAAATGTAATAAGTTATTACGAAACGCGTTCAAGTGTCGTGTCAGACTAGAAATAAAAATAAATTTTGGAGAATTGATCTTTCAATTACCATCAACAGTGAAAAGAAACATAAGAAAGATCGAGAAAATTCGTGTTGGAATTATTAATCTTACTTTTTCGGTCATATTTAATAATATATGTCTACAAGAAAGACTGCTACCAAAAAATATAAATATATATATATATATATATATATATATATATATATATATATATATATATATATATAATATAATATAATATAATATATTGTATTGTATTTACATGCTCAAGATCATCCTTATAAAATAGGTATGCCTTATAAGTCAGAAAAATGGTAAGTGTAGATATCCGTGCTTAAGCATATTTGCAGTTAGATTAATGGATTGTGGTGGTGCTTACAGAGTGGTCTGTCGATGCTCCTTCACCCGGTCCCTGTGTACACGGCGCACTATCACGCGCTCTCTCTTCATCTGCGACCTTCGTGTCAGGTGCGTACCGTCATCTGCACTATCCTAATGCCTGGTTGGTAGTGCCACCTGGAGCACAGTACTGCTCATTGTCTTCATTAAATTATAGTATTTTAATATCTTTAAATGGCAGAATACTTTTACGTTCCTTATACTTTGTGTGGTTGCCCGTTCCTTTACATTTTGAGGTTGTGTATATGTTAAGCAGTGAAGGAAATTGACAGTTGGTACAGTAAATGGTGATAAGTGATTGCTTTGACAGGTCAATGCAAAGAGAATATGCCAGAGATAAAATTGTTTATATATACCATAAAATAAATATATAATGAATTTAAAGCCAATTCATGTTGGTTATATAGAATGTTGGGTGGGTTGTGAGCTCTGTTGAACCTACCAGCAATGTATATGGAAGTGTTATTTGACACAAATAATTTATTATGTGATAAGCAATATTTTGATCAATAAATGTTATTAACATACAGTATTAATGTCAACATGATCTTGTCTAATATGAAATTTTATTGTATTATTTTAGGAAACCTGGTGATGTTTTTGGTAATCATAACTATTATTTTAGGACGCGAGTTGTTCTACTGCTCACCTAGAACTAACGCAAGCATTGTCGTTGGTGCAAGGTCCAATTATATCGCCCAGTGGACACCAAGATTGGAGTCTGCAGCAGCTCTTCTCAACTCAGTTGATATATACTTGTCCTTTGGCATCAATGTCCAAGATATATGTAGATGTTACTGACAACGTAGTAAGTTTGTTTTCAATGACTGTCACCTTATTTTCTAATGTAAGCCAGACATAAGCAGCGGCAGGCACTAAATTCTTATGGTTACAGAAACATACAGTGTACTATGTGTAGTTTTAGGCAAATTGTAGTAGGTCATCCCTGATAGTATGTAAAAAATCTATCCCCTGACAGCTCTGTCCAACCACTTAGGCTGGATGATAGAGGGACAGTCTCGCTTCATGCAGGTCGTTGTTCAATCCCTGACTGTCCAAGTGGTTGGGCACCACTCCTTCCCCCCCCCCTCCTGTCCCATCCCAAATCCTTATCCTAACCCCTTCCAAGTGCTATATAGTCGTAATGGCTTGGCACTTTCCCCTGACAGCCCACTGACATTGTTGTTAATGATGATTTGGGAAAATAGCACAATTATAAGTAGCAGTTTTTCCCTGTCAGAGTGGGAACCTGGCCAATGTTGGCTACAAAGTGAGTGTGTTACCACTGCACCACAGCCTCTGCTTCAGTCTGTATAGTAACCCATCAATGATGACCAAAGCACACACCAGAAGATGAAGAGACAACGTTTTGGTCTGTCCTGGACCATTATCAAGTCGATCGTGGTCCAGGACGGACCGAAACATCATGGTCTCTTCATCTTCTGGTGTGTGGTGTGGCCATCACATCTTCAGCCACGTTATTGTGACTCATGGTCTGCATAACCCATCAGTCATTCACTACATTACATCTCCATTATTTAACATTCATTCCTTAGTAAATGATGTTGATTCTGTATATTAAATAAGAGTAAAGAGGATGTTAAAGTAGTGATAAAAAGATTTAAACTTCTTTTAATACCTTGTTACTAATTAGGATATGAAGAAATTTACGTTGAATCCTGAGCCGGACAGCATTGATGAAAGTGGCAGCGAAACTAGCCTTCGTCAGCTTGCTGTCTATGACGTACAAGCTTCACTGACAGGAGATGCATTCAACATAGAGGCTACTTACAAATCTCGTCATATATACGGTATCATTCCCTCTCCTCACCTACACGTTTCTCGATATATCACTGGTAAGACCACGCATGCTTTATTGTTTTAAAGTATTATACAATATGTGAAGATATGATGGTATAAAAAGACAAGTCAAGTTAAATTGAAGTAAATATAAATGAGCATTAATGTTTGCAAGTGAATAACATTGAATGTGCTGCACAATGAAATTCTTGCAGGATCTGATATAAACAAATCCACAAGGGCCGTGACGAGGATTCGAACCTGCGTACGGGAGCATCCCAGACACTGCCCTAATTGACTGAGCTATGACTAGATCTACGTAGCCTCGGAGAGGCTACGGGATCCAGTAAGTTCAGTAGAACTTTGGTTTCAACCCTTTTAACCCTGTCGTAGCTCAGTCGATTAAGGCAGTGTCTGGGATGCTCCCAGACGCAGGTTCAAATCCTCGTCACGGCCCTTGTGGATTTGTTCATTTGATGTATCACGTTAGTGTGATTTCAGTGTGTAATGGATTTGATATATCTTTGAGAAAATTTGTAAGCAGTATAATGGAAGTGAATGTACATTCTTTAACTCATGGACATGCACTATTCACTGGTTATCATGGTCCAGCTTGTAGTGTGTGTGTACCGGAGGCGTTGAGGGACGCAGGTTGGATCCCATTGTACTGCCTCAATACTTTCTCTTGGACACATGATAATGAGCATTCATAATATCATCTCTGCATCCACAAACTTGAATCATCACTTTTTTTTTTTTTTTTAATTAGGTTATGGGCAAGAGAGTGGTAGTATTACAGTGAAATTTACCAACACCGCCGCCACTGCGTTATCCGTGGTGTACCTTGAGGTTCTTCCGTGGTATCTGCGTCTCTTTCTCCACACTTCTCACACGCACGGGCAGATGAAATCTTGTAGGTCCTGAATGTTTGTTTTGAACGCGTTTGTAGTCTTATTATGGAGACATTATTCCTAGAAACAAAAAATTGCCTGTTGTACAAATGAATCATTCATTATGAAATGTGGTTTCATATCTTTCTGACCAATGAGATTTTTACTTAAATTTACTCAGGGAGGTTTTTGTGTGTACGGACTATACACCCTTCTTGTATGATTTATTCATTTATTATTTTTAAAGGTGTGAGTCATATACACATATCCCTTGAAAAATTTTATGGTTCAAAATGAGGTTATATATTTCATAACAATTATTATTGTACTGTACTGTATTTAATAAGTACGGTAGTGATCTCGAAATGTTAGCTTGGCAGTTGCAGCGTGTTTTTTGTATATATTGCCCTCTGTGATGGGGAGACTTATAATACATTCCATATATAATACGATACTCATGTTGAATATGTTGACAGTGTACGTTTCAAAACTGGTGACTGCTCGAGACCGAGAGCAGGGATGGCTCTACGAGGCAGTTGTGGAGATTCCTGCCAAGTCGACTATAGAGCTTAGTCTAGAGTTCACAAGGGCTCTGCTTAAGTGGCTGGAATATCCCCCAGATGCAAATCACGGCTTCTATATTCCATCAGCAACCATTTCTACAGTTCTCCCCACTCCGCTCAATGTCTCGGTCAACAATCTGACTGGTTCTACGCTGAAGGAAAAGTAAGTAGAGTCATGATCACATTGAGAAAATATATATAATATAGAGTAAATCTGATGACCCTAGGATTGGTTAATATGAAGAACTTCAACTAAATACATGATAAAACACAATCAAATCTCCCCATAGAAGGAAAATGATGAGTGAAGGATCTGAGAATAATGTCAGACGACCTAATGTTTAGTGAGTATAACAAAGCGAATATAGTGTTTGCCAGAAAATGATAGGATGACTTAAGAGAATCTTCAAATCGAGGGCTTTTACCACAATGCTAATAGTATTTAAATCACTTGTGATTTCTCACCTTGAGTACTCGCTTCCCATTTCAAAGTGAGAGAGATTTCTGAAGTGGCACGCCCCTTTCAACGTGTCAGCCTGGTGACACACCTTTCTAATTAGATACACTCCGCTGTTCTACACATTTCTGTTCTGACATGTGTTTACCACCATTTGTGTGTGTGTAATTACCTAAGTGTAGTTACAAGATGAGAGCTATGCTCGTGGTGTCCCGTCTTCCCAGCACTCTTTGTCATATAACACTTTGAAACTACTGACGGTCTTGGCCTCTACCACCTTCTCACCTAACTTGTTCCAACCGTCTACCACTCAGTTTACAAAAGAAAACTTTCTAATATTTTTGTGGCACCTTTGTTTTGGTGCACAGGTGGCTGAGTTCTTGGTGTCCTAAGTACAGTGATACCTTGGTTTTCAAATTTAATCCGTTCCCAGAGATGGGTTGTGAGCCGAAAATTTGCAACCGGAAACAAGTTTTCCCATAAGAAATAATGTAAATTGAATTCATCTGTTCCACACTCCCAAAAATATTAACTTCAAAATACATTTCATACATAATACAGTGGCACCTCGATTAACGAGTTTAATCCGTTCCGGCACCGAGCTCGTCATGTGGAAAACTCGTCTTGTGAAACAACAACAAAACTGTTGTATAAGGTGTCCAAGAACCAGCGGAAATGCTCATTAATTGAGGAAAAGCTCGTTAGTAGAGACAAATGTTCTGAGAGTGGCTTGTTACTTGAAATGCTCGTAGATAGAGCCACTCGTTAATCGAGGTGCCACTGTATACACAACTAATTTGTACTATAGTATAGTATGTACAAGTTATAGCTGCTTGCCTTTATTGATGACTCTTGTTGGCGTATGGAAGACGGTGAGGAGGGGGGGAGGGGGGGAAGGTGTTAGTGTTTGGAAGGGAAGTCCCCGTCCATTATAACATCAGGCAGTAAGGACTTCTCTGGGGTACTCTTTCCGCTATGTTTTGCAGAAGTACCACTAGGACCTGGTTGTGGGTCTCGGCTTGCTTGTCTTACTAAGAATCTGTATAGACATGTTTTTCCCTACATTTTAACACTTGTCTGTAATAAGACATTACATTGTCATTAAAAAGGTCAATGCAACAGCCGGCTACAGTTCTATCTGGGTGAGTCTTTTCAGCATAACTTTGCAGTTCTTCCCATTCTTCACACATTTTCTTAATGAGGAAGGGACATCCTCTACTGCCTCTACTCAACTATTTTCTTAGGTTTGTAACTCGGGTTAGGTTCCTCTCTCTTTACTTCTCTACCTTCTTTGCCCTCTACCCGTATTCTTACTTTTTATTCTCTACCAAGGGACTCCAAAACTTTTACCAAAGCCAACTCCACGCCACGTGGTCCTAAGACGATTGACCGACTTAGGATTCTACACCCAGTATGACGTGACCTAGGCCTTGAGCAAAACCCTAGAGTCGCCTCTACGCTGCCACCACCAGACCAGTAACACAAGAGCAATGATCGAGGTCTGGATCGATCACGCTAATTAATCAACCTTGGGGCTTGATCCCCACTATAAACGATGACCTTGAGTGTGGAATAAATTACACGGTAATGATAATTCCGATTCGATGTTAGAATCGGCGCCCAATACAACTCTGCCTCGTGTGGACCACGTGACCAGGACAAGTATACACATAACCAAATGGAAACAATAAAAATGCAAATTATTAACTTAATTTATTAAAAGAAAACTAAAACAAAATCTAAATATGTTCACTCCCTATCACTTTAACACTCCCTACTTGACCTGAATGGCAAATGAGAAGACTATCCCTATAATTAACAATAGCAACTATACCTTGGGCGACCAGCTCTAGGTGTTGGGCTGGTCTTGGGGAGAGGTAAGATGTTTGACCTCTCCCAGCTGCTCCCGTATTCACACTGACTTGTCCTCGTCTGGCCTAGCCCAGACTAGAACATTGTATCCTTCCGCCTAGTCAAAGTTTTACCAAGTTACTAGCCAGGTTTAAGTTATAACAATTAACCTCTGTTGTACTTAATTGATCCAGACTGGTTGAATTATTTTACTGAATTAAATTACAAACATCTAACGGCAGAGCTGTTCCCGATCACAAAAATGGTTATTAAAACTTTGAGAAATAGTAGACCTGTCAACCCCTGATGACCTATGACCGCCGGTCACTCCGCTTTACAAGTTAGATCTGATTCGTGACGTCACTGATGGTGACTTAAACTCAATAATTAGAATACTCTTGATATTGTATCCAGTACTATTATACAATACAATTTTAATACAAAATGAATAAAGGCTAATTTTCTCTAAATTACTGAATACTATAGGATGGTTCATTATACGCAGCTATGAACAAAGCGTCGGGTTATTTCCACCGCGAATTCCCCTGGGGGTCAGGTCACCATGCGGGCTCAGCTTCCCATTCTCTTTTGTCGATAAACCACTCTGGATAATTCTTACAACAGCCTAGTTTGTTACAACCCCCCCGCACAAGCACTTAGTAAACCTTGTTAATTTGTTAAAATTCACGAGGTTTAGTATCCAAACCCACAATTCAACTCATGCCACAAACAAAAGCTAACCTAACTAATAAAATTTGACAAATAATAGTCCATCATAATAAACATGTTCATATTTCATAAATTTCTCAGCTGTCAACTGACAGCAATCCTCCAACATTAGGAAACATACATTCTATCCTTACTGACATAGCTAAATAACATGTCCCTACTCTACCATCAAAAACTAGCTATTAAACTCTCTTGGCTCTTCACTAGCCAAGTCCATGTGTCCTCTAGAGCCGGCCACACCGTGCTCAAACAAACATTAAAGTTATATCATCAGACTGAACTTTCAGTCATCCGGGAGCGTACTACGGAACTATCAGGTACACATCCGTGTACTAACCACTCCCCATCAATGTCAACCTTGACATGTTAAGGAACACACCTAATGTTTATTACATGTATCTAAAAATATAAAAAAAAATTCCTATACTATATCACAGGTTTCGGCTGACTGTACAGCCAAGTGTTCTCACTCACTAGAAGTGTCAATGTTTATATTGGTCCGCCTCTCCTGTGTTCAAACATCCTGAAAAAAATAGCACAACATAATTTTCCATATCCGTTTGTTCAGGGCTTAAACAATGTCACAGGGGCTTCGATTTTGATTACTGACCAATTTATAGAGTAAAATTTTCATATATTATACCAGAATTATTTTAAATCTGTTTTTCAACATTTAAAAAGTATTGATTCTAAATCTGTTTTTCAACATTTAAACAAAAGTGTCCAGATGTTCTTTACACAGATGTTCAGAGCCACTTTGTTGTCTGTATCAATTGTTCATATTGAGTAATCGAGAAAAAAAAATAGATGCTGCTGGATGCTGAATGTAGTCGCTGACGATGACGGTGTCGATCTTGCTTCTTCTCATGTGTAGACATCAATACCTGGTCCTCTTGTACTCCCATCCGGTACTCTTGAATGACGACAGAGTGTAGTAGAGCGGAGTGCCAAGTGACAGCTGTAGAATACTGTTACTTCGGCCATTAATCTTGCTCTCGACAATCCACACGCCTTCATATCAATCACAGTTCACACAGCAGTCATGATGTTAAACTTGACGGCGCAGATGACCACAGCAGAGCAGGACTGGATGTACCAACGGTGTCTCTTAGCAGGAGTGGTGTCAGAAGGTCGTAGAGGCGGGTTGCTTGTTTGCAGAACAGGTGAATCTCGTCTTCCATCATTGCTCACGTCATCTCAGGCGTTTCTTGATGTCCCCAGGTTACTAGGCCGTAAACACCAACTGTGTATACCCTCGTACCGCCGACTTTAGGCCAAAGGAGACAATTTTGCGACCTTCTATTGGCGAGTCCCGGTACTCTGTAGGGAAACCGTGCCTTCCACCTGTGACCGCCTTACTTCCGCTTTCTTGTTACTTCAGATGACGTAATCATTAATCTTCCGGCGAAATTCTTGAGTACTGCTACGTGCTTTCCATTTCTTGACCTCTCCTCCAACACTGCTGGAATGGCTGCAGTCTTGATGACGCAGCAGGTGGGTAGTGGTGATCTCGAGACAGCTACCCCGGCGTTGTATGGCACCTCCGGTGACTGCTATAATGTGGACCGCTCGCTGGCCCTGACAACCTCGTTAGTGACGTGAGGCGTTGGCCGGGTGACTCTTGGACAGTCACTCATCCCCAAAGTAACTGATGTATGGGTTACTGGGTCTGGTGGGGGGAGGGCTTTGTGTAACGTGCCTCCCCCCTCGGTCTTTACAGACAAGGGTTCACGTGTGGCTGGAACAACTGGGTCGGTGTACCAATCAGACCTGGGAACAGACAGACACAACACAGCGGAAGCATAGATATACTCTGGGTTTGGTGGAGGTGGAACCCCAGAGCACGGTAAAAGTTGCTACCTGAGTCAAGTATAGACATAGTACATCTCATTGCCTTTACAGGAAAATCTAATGAATACTAAATTATACTAACCAAGGAAGTTACTTTACTGTATAGCGCGAGATCTCGTCACCATAGGGTGGCGAGACTGCACCTGACTACTGATGAGCGATGACAGAGGGTCATCCTCATCTTCTGACTCGTCGGTGAAGCCATGAGTCAGCACTGCTGAGTCAGGAACTAGACCCGCTGAAGGCAGTTCTAATTCCTCTCTAGCATGATATTG